GTCCTTTGTTAGATATGTGGATTTTACATTTTTTCCTATTCTGAAGCTTATCTTTTCATTATATTTATTGGGTATTTCAGAGTAAAACTTTTGAAATTTGATAATATTTAATTTATCAATTTTTCCTTTTATAGGTTGTGTTTTTGTTGTCATGTCTTAGAACTCATTATCCACTGATGGATCCCAACATTTTTCTCGTATGTTTTTCCCTAAAAGTTTTATACTTTGAACTTACAATTAAGTCTGTGATTGATTTTCAGTTAATTTTCATGTAAGATGTAAAACTTGGATTGAAGTTCATTTTTTTTTGCTTATTGATGTCCAGTTGGTCCAGTATTATTTGTTGAAAAGGCCTTACCTCTATTAAATTGATTTCATACCTTTTTCACAATTCAGTTAGGCATATGTATATGGATTTGCTTCTGTGTTTTCTATTCTGTTACATTGATCTACATGTTCATATATCTGCCTACACAGTTCAGTCTTGACTGCTATAGCTAATCAATGTCTTGAAAATGGATAAAGCAATTCTTCCTTTCTTCTTTTTTATAATTGCTTTAGCTACTCTACTTTCTTAAAGCTTTTTAAAAATTTTTTATTTATTTATTCTTAGAGAGAGGGGAAGGGAGGGAGAAAGAGGGAGAGAAATATCAATGTGTGATTGCCTCTCAGGCGCCCCCTACCAGGGACCTGGCCCACAACCCAGGCATGTGCCCTGACTGGGAATTGAACCAGTGACCCTTTGCTTTGCAGTGGGGCACTCAATTCACTGAGCCACACCAGCCAGAGCTAGCTACTCTACTTTCTTTACCTTTGTCTATAAATGTTTGAATAATCTATATGTACAAAAAATTCTTGCTGAGATTTTGATAGGAATTGCATCAAACCTGTATATCAACTTAGGGACAATTCACCAATTCACATCACTTCTATGTTCAGTATTCTAATATATATATATATATATATATATATATATATATTAGAATATATATATATTAGAATATATATATATTAGAATATATATATGGTATGTCTGTTATTTATTTAGATCTTTAATTTTTCATCAGCATTTTGTACCTTTCAGCATGCAATTACTGTACATGTTTTGTGAAATTTATGCCTATGTATTTCTTTTTGAGCAATTATAACTGTTATTGCATTTTTATATTCAGTGTTCATGTATTCATTGCTAGTTTATGGAAATGCAACAGATTTTTACATGTTTTTCTTATATCCTGCAATCTTGTTGAGATCACTTATTTGTTCTCAGAATTTTTTTGAAGATTACTTGGGATTTTCTATGTATACAGTTATGTCACCTGCAAATAGTAACAGTTTTAGTTCTTCCTCTCCCATCTGTATGCCTTTCAATTACCATTATTATCGTATTGCAATAAGAGTGGTGAGAACTGACATCTTTTCCTTTTTGCTGACCTCCAAAGGAAAGCATTCTGTTTTTCATTATTAATGTTAACTGTAGGTTTTTATAGATTTTTTTATCATGTTGAGGAAGTCTCTCTCCATTCCTATTTTTCTCCATTCCTAGTTGTTGTTGTTGTTGTTTTCCAGTCATGAATAGGTGTTGGATTTTGTCAAATGTTTTTTTCTACAACAATTTATATGACCATATGATTTTCTTCTTTAACATATTAATATGTTGACTTACATTTATTGATTTTTGAGTATTGAACCAGCCTTATGTCCTTGGGGAAAATAATCTCACTTGGTTATGAGTTATAATTCTTTTAATATGTTGCTGTATTTTATTTGCTAGTATTTTGTTAAAGATTTTTTAAAAGATCTTATTTATTTATTTATTTTTAGAAAGAGAGGAAGGAAAGGAGAAAAAGAAGAAGTGAAACATCAATGTGTGGTTGCCTTTCGCATGCCCCCAACTGGAGATCTGGCCCACAACCCAGGCATGTGCCCTGACCAGAAAACAAACCTGCAACCTCTTGGTTTGCAGGCAAGCACTCAATCCACTGAGCCACATCAGCCAGGGCTTGTTAAAGATTTTTACATCTATATTCATATGGGATACTGGCCTATAGTTCTCTATTTTTGTATTGTCTTTGTCTAATGTTGCTACCAAGGTAATTTTAGCTTCATTAAGTGTATTGGGAAATGTTCCTTCCTCTTTTATTTTTGAGAAGAGATTACATAGAATTGGTGTGAATTCTTCCTTAAAAGTTTGGTCAATTTTCCAGTGAGACTATATGGCCTGGAGATTTTTTTGAGAGGAAGTATATAATCACTAATTTAAGTTCTTTAATGTTTATGGGGCTATTCACTTTATCCACTTTATATTGGGTGAGTTGTGGTAGTTTGCATTTAAAAAATATTTCATCTAATTTGTCCAATTTGTGTGTGTAGGGATGTTCATCATAATCCTTTATTATTCTTTTGATGTCTTCAGGGTCTGTAGTGATAGCCTCTATTTTATTCTTAATACTGGTAATTTATTTCTTCTCTTTTTTTTCTTTGTTAGTCTTGATGGAGGTTTGTCAACTTTTATAATCTTTTCAAAGATCCACTCTGTTACTGCTGGGCCTTCTCTGGACAGTACTCTGACCAGGATGCTGGGGCACCTTATTGTAGCTTTATGGGGTTGTACCCTCATAAGTCTGAGCTCCCCACTGGGCCTGTACTGGTAAGGGTGGGGCCATAGTTTTACTTGTGATATTTGACTCTGGTAGACCAGTTTTGTCTAAAAATTTTTTTGTCTTTCGAGATTGCTTCTCCTCTGGTGTTTGGCTAGTGAGAGCAGGCTTTTGTTAAGCCTTTTTAGGTCTGTGATTGTTGAAATTTCTGCTTTGCTGGCCTCTTCAACTTTAAGTCAGGAATATATGAAGTGAAAAAGAAAACCCAGGGTATTCACTACCATGTAGTTCCTTTGATCCAGAGGCCCCTTGCCTATCTTTTTCTCTCCACTTTTCAGAGTCTTGTTTGTTTTATATATACTTTTCAGGGTTTTTACTTGCACTGAACAGGAAAAATAGGTAAAAGTGCATCTATTCCATCCCCTTGGAAGCAGATGCCTCATTAGCCTTATTTTTATTTGTTTTCTAATATATCATTTTGTTGTTGTTTTTAAATCAGGAAGAAGCTTGAATTTTATAAAATGCCTTTTTACTCTCTATTGATAATCTGCTTTCCTGTTTTTATCTATTAATATGAGGATTTTACAAACAGCTTTAACTAAATTTGTGTGGTGAATGTTATATAGTTTTCTACCCCATCCCCAAGCATACAGCAGAGGTTTTCTAATGAGTAAGCAATGATTACTGGGACTTTTGCAAGACTATGAGGAATATAATACATGCTAGAGTTAAAGACTTATTTGGGAATTCCTTAAAAGGAATTCCTTAACGGGAATTTGTGACTTATAGGGAGAAACTGCTACTCACCTTCAGCTGAAAGTTTCCACACAGAAATGGGTGTCTATCACTCTTGATCTTAATTTTTTGTCCAGAGAGAGGGACAAAAAATAAGATTTTCTATGGGAAATATTCCAATTTTTAAATGTTGGCATCTAATTCATGAATATTGTTAAATAATGTATAGGTCAAACTAAGTATAAGAGATAATGTAAAGAGTACTTAAATGCTGAGTGTGTCCTCAGTAAAAGGACATAGCCTCTTCCCCTTCCAATTCTGGGCCAAACTTCTAAGGACATGGGGAATTAAACTCCAGATGGTTTGGGGGGATTCAAAAGCAGGGTCTTGTGTTTCTACTTTCCTAAACAGTGCAGCACCATAATGAGACTCAAAAATTTATTTGCCTTAGTGTGATATAGGTATTTCATGTTGTGTGTTCTCAGATTGGACTAAGATTGTCCCATTTAGGAGCTGGCAGTGTGCCTGAAATTATCTTGTTGAAATAGCATAGAGAGGGACAAAATCAATTTCTAAAAGCCCAGGAGGGTCATAGAAGTCAAAACTTAGCTGAGTTGAGGAGTCTCCCAGGTGGGAACAAAGGGTTACATATCAACTGTTATGAAGGTTCATAAAAGAATGTGACTTTAGTTACATTTCTTGCACCATTTGAGTTTATGGGCCAAAATTTTACCCTCTACACTATTTTTTTCTGCTATAAATTCTATTACATTCAAAGTTTGATTGTCATCATTGTTATTTTCTAAACCATTTTTCATTACAATGTAAATTTTTCTCTTGACACAATAGTTACCTCCCCCCAACTCAATTTAAATTTGTTTTTAACAGGTTTTTATTTACAATTTAAAGTGCCTTCTATATTTTATACAACTTTAGTTGTCTTTCAGATACAATTCTTAAAAATAGATTTCAGCATCTGAAACTGAACATTTTCATATCTGTGAAACACATTTTTCAGAAACTCCTAAATATAAATATGTTGTATCTGTGAAAATGTGTATTTTTGAAATTACTGAAGACCCAATCTATGTTTAATCTTAATGTTTATGCTTATATTCTTGTTTTTCTTCTTTTTTTAAATTTTATTTAAATTGTTGCTGCAGTACAATTTTCTATCTTTTACTCCCATCCCAACCCACCCACCCAACCCTCCCCTTCTCCCTCCCATTTCCACCCTATACTGATATTCTTAGATTTTGAAAACCATATAAGTTCAAACTTTGCCAACAGTATCTTAATGCTCAGAATTTGCTGCTAAGGTTTTTTTTGTTTAGCTTTTTTTTTTTTTTTCTCATTCCTCTCTTTAAGCCTTTTAAATACATTATACAGATCTTTTCTGGTTTATTTTCATTAAACTATACACTCTATGCAGGACCAGATAGAGGTGTCTTTTAATGTGATTTAAAAGCTAATGAAGTAAAATTATTTAAAGCAATCAATACATAATAAAGTTACTTTATCCAGGCCATAGTCATTTCTAGTATCAGCTTTATTTACGCAATGAATCTCTGAGGGAATGTCACCTCCTCAGGGTACCATGTGTATCTAAAACAGAATCATGTGTGCCCCACCCCCCCACCAACATACACAGTCTTTATCCTTTTGCTTGGTGTTCTTTTTCTCTGTAGCAATTTATCTTCATCTGACACAGTACATATTTCGTTTGTTAATGGATTCTAGGCCTGTGTTCTCAAACTTGCTCTGATTTATTTACTGATGTATCCTTAACTCCTCCAGTAGTAGCTGGCACACTTTAGGTCTTAATTGGAGCTTAAATAAAAATACTCCAAAGAACCTAGAAATTACCTTGGGCTCCGAATGGCTATTTAATAAGCGGATTTACTAGTGGTACAGAAACACATTGATTACAAGACATCTACAAGTCCGATATTTTTTCTAGCCCTTTCCTCCTTTAACATGATAATTAAAGCTAACTGGCCTGGGAGTAACTTCTGTCTATCAACCTTCCATCAGTGAAGATGTTTCAGAGAGAATAATACAATTACCAGTGAGCAAAAGGCGGGGGCACGGAAGGAAAAAAGTTAATCGGTAGCTTCAGTGGGGCATTCCGCGGCTAAATGACCATACTCCCCACAGCAGTAGCACTTGACGTCCTTTTTCTTGGTGCAGTTGATGGCCACATGGCCGGTCTCGCCACACCGGTAGCATTTGATTTGTGGGCAGTCTTTCTGAATGTGACCAAGTTCACCACAAGTGTAGCACTTTTGCTCTTCTGGATGGTCACAGTCACGAGCAAGATGGCCAGGTCTGCCACAAGCGTAACAGCACAGTTCTCTCACGTGCTTAGGCTTGACACAGTCTTTGGCGATGTGACCACTTTTCCCACAGTTGTAGCAGATGTCCTCGAGAAAGTCACAGTCCCTAGCATGATGACCAGACTCACCACAGCGGTAACAAAAGTCAGTTAGGGTGGTGGAACTGCACTGAGAACCTCTGCCACGGCCTCTAGCTCTGCGTCCTGGAGCTTGTCCTCCTCTACGGCATCCCTGGGCCCCGTAGCCAGAGCGTCCACAGCTGAAGTATTCCTTACTGCTCATGGCTGCAGTGAGATCTTCTAGTGAGCCAGTACACCACTGCCCCGGAGGCCCTGCCGCAGCTCCCCTTGGTGTGGCTTAGAAAGGAGTAGCTGTTTTTCTCTAGGAGACTCAGGACGTCACACTAGGTTTACGTATAGCGCCATTCATGCGTCACAGCCGTTCCAACTGCCATTCCTTCCTGACTTTCTAACTGTCCCCGAACCAAAACCACGGAAGTGGTGTTTTCCGTTTTTTAAAAATAAAACCTTGAGTCATTAACTTTGAGCTCGATTCCTTCCCTGTTCAGAAAATGTGCCCTGTAGGATTTATTATAATTAAGACTTAGACTTTCTTTGTGGTCTACTTAGCAGAAGACCAGTTTTTATGTATGTGCTATGGACATAGGAAAAATATATGTGAGATGTATCTAATCCAGTAAATAAAAGAAACAAATTATAACAAATAACCTATTTTTTCTTTTGAAAAAATAAAATACACTAACCACTGGAAGCCAATAGCAGGAGATAGCCAACATACTCTAAATATCCAATTCAATAAAGTTATTTATGAAAAATAAATAAAATACAAATGTCCATAAAATATGAGATACATTAGAGGAAAAATCTGTAAAATGTCACAGGGAGGAGATTTACTCATAGGTTAGCCCCTTTTATTGCAGTAATTTTAGTTTCCAACATAATCACCACCATTTAAGTTATAAAACAATTAAAATATTCAGTATAAAGAACACACTATTACTTGGGAAATAAATTACAAAAACATAAGTTACATATTGGACATATTTCCTTTCTATTTTCCCAATTGTTTATATCTTACATAAACCTCATAAAGATTTATGGGTGTGTTGTTCATTTATATAGATAAATAAGTATGGAAAGCTAGACACTGAAAAATCGAGACAAGCTATTTGAGACATGATTGAATATGATTTTTTTCCTTCTCTGTACTTTATAATTTTTGAAATGTTTTGGGATTGTGTAATCTTAAAAATTCACAATAAATATTTGTATTTAAGTTATTAGTTAACTACATGATTTGTATATAAATTTATTCAGACAGCCAGTACAAATATATTTGGTAAAATACAGACATAAGAATAATGCATATAGTAGTTGGTCTTTATTTTCAATATCACTTGATTGGTATATGGAACTGGTTTCATAAATGCAACCACAAAGAAAAACATTTTCAAAAATTAAAGTTTAAGGCCAAAGAATATGAGTAGTTGCCACTGACAGAGTGATGAAATGAGTTTTATTCCTAAACAATTAAATGATGCTGCACAAATGATTTCAAATGGCAAAAATTCTCTCTGTGGTTCAAATTTTGATATATGCTTATTAAAATAACCTTATTAATTGTTATGTTTGAATCTTCCTTTACATTTATATTTTTATTAAAGTAATACATGCCTATAATATATAAAGCATTGTTTTTTCAAGCAGCTTTTCAAAATTATATTTTATTTATTTATTTTTATAGAGAGGGACAGAGAGAGAGGAAGACAGGAAGAGAAACATCAATGTGTAAGAGATACATCGATAGGTTGCTCTCACACGTCCCCAAGTGGGGACCTGGCTCACAACCCAGGCATGTGCCCTTAATGGGAATTGAACCAGTGACCTTTTTAGTTCGCAGGCCAGTGCTCAGTCCACTAAGCCACACCAGCCAGGGCTCAGGCAGCTTTAATTGAGACATGAAGACACATTTTATATCCGCCTCTCTCTATATGTGTATGTGTATACATATATATAAATGTAAATGACTTTAAGAAAAAATAGTTATCCTTAATGTGTACAATGCATTTTGATGTCTCTATTCCTGTTGTAAAAAATGCTGGTGGTGATCCATTACATTGATTTCTCAGTTCAGTAAATAATTGTAACTCAATTTGAAACACACAGAATGACCATTTAGCCCTACAAAATCTTTTAGTCCACCTCAAGCATTTTCATAATTTAGGTTCTCCACTGCACCCCCCACCCACCCTTTCACCTTTCTCCTAATATTGGTTAGGTCAATATCCAACATTTACATAGCTATAGCTATGTAAATGCTATTCATGTCTAAGCCATGAATACGTTTATCACTTTTCATTACCTGAATAGCTTTTTGTCTCCTGAAGTTAGTTACTGTCATTTTTCATTTATTAGTTTCTCATATACTTATCTCAACTCTATTTCATAGATCTATATGGCTATCCTTATACCAGTACCAGTCTTCACTATTGTAACTTCATATTTTCCTTTGAAATTAGGAAGAGTGAGGTCTCCAACTTTGCTCTTCTTTTCCAAAATTGTTGTGACTATTCTGAGGCCCTTGCATTTCCACATGAATTTTAGTATCAGCATGTCAATTTCTTCAACAAAGGCAACTGAGATTTTGATATACAGGGTCCAGCACAAATAATGCCCCCTTTTAATTATAAAATCTTTTATTACAAAATCATAAGCATGCAATTCTGCAATATAACAATATCACACTCAAGCATACCATATGATTTTTAGGTGAAATGTTCAAATTAAAACTATAAATTATTATTACGTATTATTACCCTACCAACCACATTCAAGCAGGAGTTACTTCTGCCAGATCCTGTATAGTGTGGAGATCAATTTGAGGAGTATTCTTTCAAGAATATATTTCTTAAAGATTTTATTTATTTATTTATTTTTAAGATATTTTATTTATTTATTTTTAGAAAGAGAAGAAGGAGAGGAGAAAAAGAGGAAGAGAAACATCAATGTATGGTTGCTTCTCATGCGCCCCTTACTGGGGACCTGGCCCACAACTCAGGCATGTGCCCTGACTGTGAATCAAACTGGTGACCCTTTGGTTCACAGGCCAGCACTCAATCCACTGAGCTACATCAGCCAGGACAATTTATTTATTTTTAGAGAGGGGAAGTGAAGAAGAAAGAGAGGGAGTGAAACATCAGTATGTGGTTGCCTCTCACACGCCCCCTACCAGGGACCTGGCCCACAACCCAGTCATGTGCCCTGACTGGGAATCAAACCAGCAACTCTTTTGATTCTCAGGCCGGCACTCCATCTACTGAGCCACACAAGCTAGGGCTCTATACTGTTTCTGATCCACAATTAGGAGTCTACAGATGTAGAGGATTAACTGTATGCATTGATCTATGCCACTTTACATAGATGATTTGAGCATCCACAGATTTTTGTAACCATAGGGGTCCTGGAATCAATTCTCCATGGATACTGAGGAACAAGTAAGATTTGGGGGAGTCAAATATTATTATATTATATTATATTATAATATATATTATATATTATAGTATAGTATAATATTATTCAAATTATTCTGTTTATATGGTATATTTCATTGATTTTTATATGTTCATTTAACACTATATTCCTGAGATAAATACCATTTGATCGCGGTATATAGTCCTTTTTATATGCTGCTGGATTTGGTTTCTAGCATTTTGTTGAGGATTTTTACATCTATATTGAAAAAGAATATTGATCTATAGGGTTTTTTTTCTTGTGTTATCTCTGTCTGGTTGTCATTTCAAGGTAATCCTGACTTCAGAGAATGACTTTGGAGATCTTCCCACCTCTTCTATGTTTTGGAATAGTTGGTGAAAAATTGATACTATTTCTCCTTTAAATGTTTGGAAGACTTCACTAGTGACACCATCTCTGCCTGGACTTTTCTTGCAGAAAGTGTTTAAATTACTTAGTCTCTTTACTTGTAATAGGTCTGTTCTGATTTCATGTTTCTTCTTGAAGCAGTTTTGGCCATTTGTGTCTCTCTGGCACTTTGTCTATTCCATCTAATTTATTTAATTTATTGCTATGTAACTGTTCATAGTATTCCCTTATACTCCTTTTATTTCTGTAAGGTCAGTAGTAATGTACTCTATTTCCTGATTTTAGGAATTTGAGTCTTTTCTTTTTTTGGTCAGTACAGCTAAAGGGTTTTTTTTCCCCCTCCAATTTATCTGATCTTTTCACAGAACCAACTTTTGGTTTTGTTGATTTTCTCTATTGTTTTTCTATTATATGTTTTATTTATTTTTACTTTAATTTTTATTACTTCCTCCCTTCTGCTTGCCTTCAGCTTAGTTTGTTCTTGTTTTTTCAGTTTCCTAAGGTGGAAAATTACATTATGGATTTGAGATCTTTCTTCTTTTATAATATAGGTGTTTACAGGTATTAATTTCCCTCTGAGCACTAACTTAGCTGCTGCCCATAAATTCTGAAATATTGTGTTTTCTTTTTTATTTATCTCAAAGTATTTTCTATTTTTTCTTGTGACTGCTTTTCGATCAATTGCTTATTTGGGAGTGTAATGCTTAATTTCCACATATGTATTAATTTCCCAAATTTCTTTCTGTTGTTAATTTATTTCATTCCATTGTGATTAGAGAACATACTGTGGATAATTTTAGTCATTTTACATTTAGTTAGGCTTATTTTATGGCCTAGCATATGGTCTTTCTTGGAGAGTGTTCCATGAGTGCTTAAGAAGAATGTTTATTTTGTTGCCATCCATTGAAGGATTTTCTATATACATCAATTATATCCATTTGGTTGGTCATGTTGTTACAGTTTTCTATATCATTGCTGATTTTCTACTTTTAGTATCCATTACTAAAGAGGGTATTCAAGTCACCAATTATTATTGTTGGATTATCTTTTATCTATTCAATTTTGTCAGTTTTTTCCATGTATATTGAGCCTTTTTTGTTAGATATACATATATACCTACATATTTAAACATATATATATTTATAACTGTTAGTTTTTTGATGAATCAAACCTTTTATCATTATAAAATATTTTAACCCTTTAAATATTTCTCAGAGGTGTCATATTTTTATCTCATTACTCTTCTAAAGTAGGCCTATGTCATCTCTTGAGTAAGCACATTTTTCTAAAATGCAAAGCTGACCATACCACTCCCTTGCTTGAATTCTTTCTCTTCAATAATTACTAGATAAACGAAGTGGAAAGAGCAAGTAACTCCATCAACAAGAATTATTATATGCTAACCTCAACTTTATAATGCTTAAAAAATGGAATACTATCCATTTATTAAAATGATAAAGATGATAATAAGGAACATGGAAAAATAGTTAAAACAACACATTATTACACTTATAAAATAGTTCACATTAAACCACTGCATATTTAAGCAAAAATTGAAATAACACAAAGATATGCTGATGGACATGAGGTTTCTTTTTGGGGTAGTGAAAAATTCTAAAATTGTGGTGATGGTTGTACAACTGTGAATATTCTAAAATCCATTGCTTTTCACATTTGAAGTTGGTGAATTGTATGACATGTGAATTATATCTCAATAAAACCATTATAATAGAAAAAAATACAAAGCAAAAGCATTTGTTATAATGGTGTTATATTCTGGGTAAATGTCCTCTCCTTTTAATAAATGATTCTTTTAATTTAGGAAAGAGGTTCTTTGTACCACTGTAACGTCAGACATTTCTATTTATCTCTTTTTTCTTTCTGATATTTTACATTGTCATATAACCTTTTTGTGCATATGTAAAAAACACGAGCTTCCATTATTTTACTGAATAATACTAATATGACATCATTAACAAGTTAATTAGAGAGGACGATGATGTACATATACTATGGGTCTCCAGATTTATTGATTTGTGGGTCTCAGTTTCTGACACTTGCAAACTGGCTTTCTTAGAAAGCAAGAACTAGCTTCCAAAGCAAAGCATCATAAAGAGAACCAAGTATTACCTTGTATTCTCTTCTCCTCACATCCAAAGAGGAACTCAACATCCTGTTGAATAAGTGATGCCACTCCTCTTGAAATTACTATGTGAATTTCTCAAAGAAGACAGGAATAAGCCTTGTATCTAGCAGTGGAGGACAGTGAAGAGTAATTTTAATGTCCAGACAATATCAGGGTTGTGAAGAGAAAGAAAAAGGTATTGCATATTTCTACTTGCTCCAAATTGATTGAACACCCTTGCCTGTTTTTTGGGGGGTTTTTTTTGTGTGTGTGTTTTTTTTTTGTGCAAGGGGTGTTTTGGTGTCCTGTCTGTGGATCTTCTTCATGGGTTCATCATCAAGAGTTCTCTTTGCCTAAATATAACCAGAGGCATTGAAATTAAGAACAAACTGACAGTAACCAGAGGGGAGGTGAGAGGGGATATTGGAGGGATTTGGGGGAAGGGTCATCAAGGAAATGTATAAAGGACACATGGACAAAGCCAAAAGGGGGGTAGGATCGAGGGTGGAAGGTGGGGATGGCTGGGGTGGGGGGAAGTGGTCGAGGGGAAATGGAGACAACTGTATTTGAACAACAATTTTTTTTTTTTAAGGAGAGTTCTCTTTGCTTGGCACTAGCTGGTGCAGCCCAGCTTGAGAGCTGCTTTGGGGAAGATTATGATATAATTAATCTTTCAAATTTTTATTTTACAGTTTGCAACATCAAGCACACAAGAGAGCAGTAAGAGGTCCTGTTGGCCTGCGGACTGGCAGGGAAAACCAAGAATGGAAGGGTAAGCCAGTAAGAAGATCAATGAATAGTAACAGTCAACAAGGAGACTGGGCAATGAAATAGTGGGCTACGAAGAATGGGAGAGGAACTGACGAAGGAAGGATGGGCTGAAGGAGGAATGGTAGTACAGATCAATGTGACCAAAAGGAGGAAAGGTGAAAGAAGCAGGATGGGCTAGGGACCTGAGCACTGAGGAAGAGGCGAAAGAGGCCTGAACGTTAACCTGGAAGAGCCAGAGGTGGGTGGGGGTGTGGAGAAGAGGGCGTGCACAGCGCATGCGCTGGTAGCACACTGCGGCGATTCCGCGGAGGTAGCCCTTTCCTGCCAGCAGCGCAGCGGAAACAATATCTGCTGCTGGTCTGTGCTGCTGTCCACTACTACCTTGGCCCGCTGCTGCCACTCTGGCGCTGCGAAGTCTGTAACGCTGCTCCCTCTTCCCCGTCTTGGGATGGCAAGTACCAAAAATTCATTCTACGATACTCGATGCAGCCACTAGGTAAAGGATCGACAGGAGGGAAGAACATGGAGGGCGGAGAGAACTCGGGTCGGGAGATCTTTAATTGTTTGTGTTCTCCCTATTCACGAGAGGGAACAAATGGGGGAGAGTATGGGCCTCAGACTACAGAAGGGAGCTGAACGTGTACTTACCGTTTTGAAAGGAATACAGATTCCTTTCCTCTAACCAGGATCCAGGCACCTGAGCGTCGGTGTTTTTCATAATATTCTGTTTAAAATTTTTGGAGTTCCTCATATATAGCAGATGTATTTAAAGGACTGGGTTTTAGGACTAAGCTCATCTGATTGTGAGAGCTTTCTTTGCCTTTGTTGAGAGTGGTGTGTCTTATTTCACAGTCCGAGAGTATTCCAGCTTCTCCCTCAGGGTCTTGGCGGATTCCATCTAGGATTCCATCTAGATTTGTCATATGCTCGAGTCACCTGGAATGCTATCTTTTCCGCATTCCACTTCCCTAGTTTAACTCACCTATCCAGAATAGGGAAGAGTGGCTCTCCTTGAGCTCTGGGGCACAACTGTGGCGAGAAACACGTCCAGATAATCGCCAGGCATATGTATATAGGCATATGTGTATGTAGCAGAGATGGGAAAATAAAGAATACGAAAAGTTGGGGGTGTTGCGCATGTATTTGACAGGCTTGAGGAGGTGCGGCAGCGGACCAGGATATTTGAGTCAGCCTGACAAGAGAGAGGGGACGCAGATGCAAGACTTAGAGCAGGAGAGGGTCAAAGGTGTGTTTAAGAAAGCAAAGTTAGTAGTAGTTGGCAGTCGCTTTTCAGAGGGAGCGTGAGGGTGTGAATGCCTATTTGAGAGAACATGGACAGTTGGGTTTAATGGTAACAGAGAGGCGCGCAAGCATATTTCTGAACAAATAAGGAATGGGAGGCAAGCTGCGTTTGCGTAAATACGAGTACAAAATGGCGAGCTGGGAGGTAAGTTATCTTTGGCCATCATGGGGCAGCGAGACTTGCAGAGAAGCAGATGTACATTTATAAATGAATGAAGAGAGTAGTCTGAGTTAGAGTTCCTCTGGGCTGTGGCCACACCCAGCAAAAATTAACCCAGAATCTTAGCCTGTCACTGCCCTATTGATACTGTGGGTTTAAAAATGCAGAGGCAATGATGACTCTAGAAGGTTGCATGCGGCAGCTGGCTGTGTGTGTAGAAAATGCATGAAACCAGAGCATTTTCAGGAGACCGGCCACTTGCAGGCAGTACATATATGGGGGTGCTCTCTGTCGGACTTGCACTTCTTGGGTTGCTGTACTGTCTCTAGACACTTTTATCCATACTGTGTTCAGAGTAATAGAATACAGTAGTTGCAGTATAGTGAGAATCTACTGTTATGTTGTCAGTAGCCCTTGATTTCGTACCCTTTGACGCTATTGGGGTGAGGACTTTGGCTATACTTCCAAATGCTTCTTGCACTTTGCTTTAAACCTAGGATTTGGGCAAATGGTAATCAGGAATATGAGGGTGACCTGGGCTCACACCCTTTTCTCTAATTTCTTTTTTTCTGTAGAACTTTGAGCATGGGTTTGTCTAGGGGGGGATGATGTTTTTTTAAGGCAGCTGTTCTGTCATATCTCTCAGAGAGGTGTCATTGAGGATCTATTGTTAATTGCTAAAAGATGCATCACTTAGATATGTAGTAGAAAGGGCACAGGATTTAAAATTGAGGAGACAGGTCTTTTCCAGTGATCCTAGCTGTGATCTCATGCTTTTCCTTTTCATTCTCTGGTCCTGTTTCCCTATCTATAGTAATAATTACATTTAGACTATGTCAGATTACTGGTCTGTGTGCTTTTACACATTCCTTAACTCAAGTAGTACTCTCAACAATCTTATGAAGTTGCAGCACCATTGTTCATCTTTTATAAATGACAGATTTGAGGGACATGGATTAAATAATTTGTCCAAGGCTTTACATAAAGGAATTGTTGATTTGGAGCCTAGTGGGGTGGCCATCCTTATCTACCCTTGTCATCTGTGCTTTTTTTGTTCTGCAGAAGGTTTAAAATGGCCGACTGTGGCAGGCTAGACACACCCTTCTTGTTTTGTCTGATTTGAGAGCCGGTCTAATGCTTTGAGACAACCAGTCACTTGCTGCAGTAGAGATTTTTGTTACCCTATTAATAATATTTTGGTGTGTTAATACAAATGTCTAATAATAAAGAAAAGGTTGTTGCATTTTTTCATATACTGAAAGACTGAAAATACCTGCATTTCTTTTATTATTTGGTTAGGATAGATACCAAACTGGAATTACTACATCAAAGGGTATGAACATTTTTAACACTCAGCATGTATTGCCACATTCCTTCCACAAAAGATTGTACCAATTTTTACTCACACAAGCATTGAGTAGTGTTTGGTTTTTTAAAAAATATTTTTATGGGTAAAAACAGTATTATTTTAATTTTGCATTTCACTGCTTATTAATGAGTTTGAATTCTTTTTCCTTGCATATATTTAACAGTTTCATTTTCTTTCATGTGATGGTACCTCGTGTTTGATTTTTATGTAGGAGTTTTAGTTTAGCGTTTGTTGTTATTATCTATTTGAATGTATTCTGTAAATAAAGGCTATCTACTCAGATTTCTGTAATGTTATAAATATATACAATAGGTTATTTGCTGCCTTTAAATCATGAGGTTAAATTTCTCTGTCTTTTGTGATTTTTCTTCTGTTTATGTTTAAATAGTTCACTCCATCTAGAAACTTGGTAAATATTCATTACAGCTCCCTCTGAGAGTAACCATCAAGTATGGGGGGAAAATCCATAATTTTACTACCCAGAGATAACCAGTGTTAACAAATGTATTCACTTCTTTTCATTCTCTCTTCATTTTTTACAGTTGTTCATATATTTGTACTATTTATATTGTATTTTGTGTTTAACATTATAACATGCATTTCTTCATATTAAACATTCTTTGTAATTGTAATTTAATGGTTTTATATTTTTTGTATGGAAGTATTTCAAAAATTTCAGAAGTTTGAATTATGTAATGAATGCCTTTTCATTTAGTTTTTATTCTTTATCTATTTCAAGTTATTTATAGAATATAGTTTCAGATTTAGAATTGCTCATCAAAAAGTTTGAACATTATAAGGATTTGCCACAGTAGTGTTCCAAAAAATTATGTCCATTTTTTTACTCAGTAATTTAGGTTCTTAATTTTTTTTTGTTTGCTAATTTATATGTACAACACTGGTGTGTTTTATAATACATTTCTCTTATTAGCTATTGGTGAGGCTGGACTCACAAGTGTTAATTATTAGCTCATTTCCTTTTGTGAACTATTCAATTTCAGTCTGAATGTTATCTGTTTGTAAGAACTCTATATTATGTGCTCTGTGTTAGGATGTATTACCCCTTCTCATTTGTTGCAAATGACAAATGTCATTGTTGCACATACGTTCCTGGCATACATTGAGTCTGAAGAAAGATTTGTGATTCCAAAGACAACTGCTGACTGGAGTACACATCAGATTCTTGGTAGCCAATCTAAGATAACATTTGTCTGTTATTTAAGTAGATAGCCATTTATTTTGTAAATTTTTTATTTTAATTGTTGTTCAAGTACAGTTTTCTGCCTTTTACCCCCATCCCAGCCCACCCCCCAGATAAAAAAATTTTATTTTTATTTTTATTTTTATTTATTTTTATCTAGAAGGAAAGCATTCTTGAGTTCTGCACATCAGTGGTGCTCCCTGGCTCTGAGTAAGGGGAGAAGACAGGGCAACATTTTGTCCCTAATAAACAAAATTAGACAAGACACAAAACAGTAGTGCCATCTTCCCCATCCATTCAGGAACGGATCTTATTTTGAATGTTTATGAGTGATCTGGAGGAGGATATGGGTGAAGTGTAGTGTCCGCTTTTATAGATAACACTAAGGTCTTTGGCAATATAAACTGCTAATAGGAACAAACTGCAACACCCAAGAAAGCATTGTCAGTGTGAGGTGACAATTGGCAGAATGGAACAATGTAGGCAAGACCAGTGTAATGACTTTATCGGGAATCTGTTTAATTATATTTATTAAGTAACTTTTTAAATTATTCCCTATTCCCATGCCATGAGCTATATTTTACTATCGCTTTTGTAATTTAAATTCTAATTTAAATTTTTTTCAGTGAAGAGATTATTGGATTTAAAGGTACCAGGCAAGCTGTTACTTACTGCTTTTTACTATCCACTTACACTGGGTTAATCCAGTAGGTTGTAAACTCCCATTTTCAGCATTTTGCTGCTTAAAGAGGTTAAGTCAGGCTTATGTGTGTGGTGAGGTGGCTGGCAGATCTATATTAAGCTAAATGAGATGGAACAATAAGAGTAAAGCTTGTATTGTAGAGGAGGCACTGAAGTCTGTTCCCATCTTAGGCATGGGAGTCCTATTTTACATCATGCCAGTGTCTAGTTCCCAAATTCATCTTTGATCAGCAGTTCGGAAGAGCCTGGATTTTTGAAGTAGCCTAAAAGCATATAATCTTTGATTTCTACAATTTGTTCCTCCCTTCTCTCTTAATGTTATAGCCAGCAGCAGCATGGAGCAGCACCTCCTGGAAAGAAATTTTCTATCAGCCATTGTAATACAACTGTTACAGCACTTACCTGGTTGTATTGTAATTGTCTGTGTATTTTCCTCTTTCCCTTCCTACATTAACAGACTGTGAGGTCCTTGAGGGAAGACAGTGTCTTCTCCAAAATCCAGCCTGGTACATTAGTAAGCCTCAGAAATGTTCATTGGATGAATAAATGAATAATCAACATGATGAATGAGTTCATCAATAAACATTTTTTGTGTGCCCACTAAGGTGATCTCCACAAGCTCTGCACTATCAACTCTTTTTTCAAAATGCATGTGGTCAGAAACTTGCTCTTTCTTTGTAGTTATATAACTACATAGTTTTATATATATATATATATATATATTCTCAAGAGTTTCTTCTGAAATAAAGCTATTCTTGTGTT